GCTGGCGCCCGCCTGGCTTGCGGATGCACGAACGACGGGTGGACGGCCGAAGGTAACGTAGGTTGGTTCTCGAAGATAGTTCGTTCTCGGATGCTTTGCTATCGGTGTCGAGTTAAGGAAAAGAATTACGTTACAATACATACAGCAAGTATCTATTAAAGATTTTTAGTAAACGGAATTTTTGTTATGGATTTTAAACATGGATCGAAAAATGAAAAGTTCTGTTAAAATATACTTGAGTTTCTTCCTAAACCACCGGCGGAACCGAGATATTATTTTAATTCATCTATACAAGGTTAAATTAAATAACAATGAACAATAGACGTATTCAATTCAAGAAGTAATAATACTCGTTCATTATGCACCTGTTATGCAAAGCCTACACAGTTAAACTTCCTACACGTGTTTATGTTGATACTTGGCATTGACTGTCTACTGAATTATTTCAAATGGATGGAAGTTACGCAGGATGTTCTTACATGAACATAATGCTGGAATTAATATATTTGATATATAGGCCTTTAACAGTATAATTACGTATATATTAAGATAGAATTTTAATATTTCAGCATATCCCCCCTTCCTCCCCCATCATTAGTTATATCCATATCAGGTTCTCCCCACTTTCGAAATTCAATATTTCTACAATTAAAAGTATACAGCTAATAATATTTTGTGAATATCAATGCAGATATAAAGTAATGGTATTAAAATACATTAATTGCTCTTTGTAATTACAATTTTTCTGCATAACCGTAACCGCTTGCTGGTATTTATAAAGTATAAATTTAATATTAATCCACTTATCTTGCAAAAAGTTGAACAGTAAAAAGAATGAGAGCCAAAAATTATAGCGTTCGCGAGTATCACGTATAGATTGTATGAGGTAACTTTTTGCATGGTTACTTTTGAAAAAAATATATTGTTTTTGAAAAACAATTTCACGTTTTTGGACAAAGAACAATCAGGGATCTGTTTTATGAAGATTCATTGGACACATAACTAAGATAATGCTATAATATTATAAGAATATATGTCAGAAGAAAGAACAAAAATTGAAGATAAAGCCTCTTGAGGCAACCAGGAATATTAATATGAATGAAAGTAAACTTTTGTACTAGGTTGTAAAAAGTTCACTGACCTATGACCTCATGAATGATTCTAAAACTCTGAGTTTGTCTCTATAGACTAACCTAACCTAACCTATCGGTCCTCATGGTTTTCAAATCCTTTGGCCTTTACCTGCCGTACCCACTGAAACGTGATATGCCATCAGAGAATGTATAGTTCATGGCTTCAGTATTGTTAACGTTATCATTAACTACACGAGGATTCTCATCCTTCGTGATTGGCATGAGATATTAAAAGGTATAAGGAATTCCTCGAGAATTCGTGAATAGCTAGAGTCTTGATAAATATTGTATTAAAATTACCATCGTCATTAACAGAATCATCATTGTCAGACGTAAAGCGTGAATGAGCTCTTGAACGACGGGAGCAGAAAATCAAGAAAAACTGGGTTTGCTGGATGCTTTCTTTTCCGGGAAAATACAAACGACTTTTACTTAAGGTACAATGTTGTCACTTGATTTCTTACACATACGGGAATTATTTTTTATCGTTATTAGTCAAAAATGAAGTTCTCTAATGATCTTCGAATTTTGTACCAATGAGATAATTTGTCTTTATTTACATTTATTAGACATTGTTTCGCACATTATTAAGTGTTTGATCGATATCAGGCTTTTTTATTTTTTTTTCAAAGAATGAAGTTTGGATTCAAATTTTTATATAATTTCTTTGCTTTCTCTAAGACGTTACTACCGCGTGTCTGAAATTGCAATCTTTGAATTCTGGGCTCGACGTAACGCGACACTTAGAATTCAAATCTATCCAATAGACTATTCAGACTACTTCATTTTGGGGAGAAAATATTAAAATGTCAAACGTAAAAAATTAATCATTTGTTTTGACTATTGAATTTGTATCGATTTTTTTCAGATTAAAATTTTCAAAAATAGCAATCGCAATCATGCTCCAATCGTATAATACTCCAATCAACATTAGCTTCGTTATCATATATCAATTGTAATAATCAATATATTTTTGCGCTTCAACTTAATGCACCACGCAGATCTTCACAGCAGTCAAAATCGATCGGTAAATTATTATTTGAAAACGAGATCAGCAGTGCCAGTTAGCATGAAAAATAAGTGATGCCCTGAAAATAGTCCAGTTATCGTTGAACTTACGAGTTTGTGAAAAATACTGAAAGTGACCCCAAGATAAGAAAGTCTCGATATGATAATTAACATATTGGTACATGTATGTACCAGAGATTTTTGTACGAATGATATGCTGAATGGAAGATTTATCATAAGCCTTATTAATATAATGATAATTACAATGTGTAAAATTTATAAAAAATTTTAACATTTTTTAATTTATAATTAAATATTCTAAAAAAATATACTAATCCTGATGAGATGATCAGATATGACTTTGGTATCATTATTGTTGGTATTATTATTATAGTCAATAACAATATTACATTATTGATAATGATGTTTTAACACTAAACGTACCGACAGTTTTTATACACCTATTTTTATCATAATTGGTCAAATGATCGGTCATGATAGATAGGGATATATATATCTTTATGAAGGTAAATGAAAGAACATACTAAGTTGAATATTGAAAAATGATTTATTTATATTTTATAGAAATAGTCGTGAAATTAGGGAGAAAAAGCTGTCAGATTATATGGAGAATTTTTATTATACGAATATTAGATACCGTTCATTCAAGATCGATTGAATTAAATATTAATTATATTGGATATCGGATATATTATTAATTTATTATATATAAAACAAATTACGCAAAGTAATGTGCAGTTTGTTGCTATGCGTCAGGTGATGCATAGCTACTGCAGCCTGGGACGTTGCATCCTCAAAGTTGTACTTGATCCCTGGGAAAGGTGAATTGGTCTGTGTGAAGTTATATTGGTCTACAGTATAGATATACACGATACGTAGAAGTAATAACATACCGAATCTTACGTGAAAGGAATTCAGTTATAGAATTTTGTGTATGGTTATTCCTTGAACTGTAGTTATTTCAGTAAATTTGAGAACTCGTTGAATCAAATGATTCGAAGAGATTTTTAATTGAAGAGTTATATGATTTTATTATATATTTAATGACAGACGACAAGTGAATTGTGAGTCGGTTCCCGCCTCAGAATAATTATTTTCATTTATAAACATATACAATCTTTGTCAATACTTCATAATGTTTAAATCAATTTTTATTTTTGTATACAATACACGAATCGAAAGAACGCGTTTCCTATAATTTCGAGAACACCGTATATATCGTGATCTGCGTTTTGCTGACTCGCGACTACCGATCTTGCTAACCTGTCCAAGTCTGCGACTTCAAAGTGCTGAAAGTGGTCGCAGAAAACAATTCAAACTTTTAAATACCTTTAACATTTAATTTCCGGGAAAAAAGAGCTGCTTTCTTATCCATGCTAACCGTAATTGTCAGCAGTAAACCCGTAAACGAGACATGTGACATCATTAAAAACTTGAGACGAATTAGCTTTCTAAAAAAAAGAATTATCATCACTAAGAAATAATACTGTATAATATTTCATAAGTTACGAATCATAGCAAAGCTGATTTTACGTGCCAGGAAGAACTTCATGCATACAACAATAATACCGTTACATAAACTTCCATTGTTATTCTATACAGACGATGTCTGAAGGAAAACAAAAATCTCCAATAATATCGTATCAATAAATTAAATTAAATCAATATCGTCCTCTGACATAATTCAAAAAATCAAATAAAAAAGCCTAACGGTATACAATAAGTCATACCATAATATAAAATCTTATCAATAATCTCACACCCCTCTCACTTCTCCGAAAAGATTTCTTCTCCCGCAAAAGTTCAATGGCTGCTTCATGACAAAGCATGACACAAAGGATGATACGTGAACTGGAATGAGGCTGTAGAAGAGATAAAATAATCGAATTGAAAGAAAAAGAAAAGCCATCACAGATCCCATAGGGATTACACATTAAGATCGCAGGAGTCAGCCAATGGGTATTCAAGATGGATTCATTCCCGATACAAGCATAGCCCATGTAGACAAGAAAACCAAGCAAGGAACAAGCAGACAAGGATAACCAAGAAAAACCAAGTTAGACTCGTGCAACGACGCGTATATGAATAAGAGCGTGCGTACTCATAGCTATACGTGCGAACGGCAGGCCGAACGTGTTCGGCCATGTTCGGCAGGCGCTCCCGGCTATCCGATTTGGATTTATACCGCAGTCACAGTCGGTCCGCTCGGTAAGACGGATCGATCAGCTCTCACTAGTCAGCCGATCGAAAGCAGCAGGCGACCGGCTTGGATCGATCGCGTGCAACGATCATTGTCGAACCGCAAGACGAAGGAGACGCGTGCGTGTGCATGCTTTGGACATTAGTTGCTGCAGGTTAGGTTGTCGCGCGCGCATTCGACCAAGTGCAGGTGCTGCTGTGTTGTGCGCGGATAAAATAACAAGTCACAGTGAGCGAATCTCTAAGGATCTTGTGGTGCAGGAGAACAGCACCCATTACCTTCAAGATAATTTCTCAACACCGAGACCCTCGACACAATGGAAAGTCCTTGATATTTCGCTAAGGTAAGGCAACTGAACATCTCCTGGTTTCTATTTCTAGTAACGACTGTGCATTGTTCTTTGTGCCTATTGCTGGGCTTTGTTTATGGCTGTCGAATTGTTGTTTTTATCGATGATTTTTCTCGCTAAGCGTTTTTTTTCTTGTAATAATTTTTACTTTTTAACGATTTTCAACTGTTGGATTACTTATGGAATGTTTGAAATTTTGAAATTAACACATTGCTTTCCTTTGTATACGTATAGTTTAATGTTTCGTCATAGGCATAAAGTACACGCAAGAAGCTCAGTAGCAGAAGTACTATGCACTGTGTTAATTCATTTAATATTTTTCAAAGGTATTAATTTCTCTTTACTATAAAATCTCAATGTATCATAATGTCAGCTGTTAAGTTTCACAATAAAAGCGTCAAAATCGTTAAATATTTCTCACAACGTTCTCGGCTACACTTAGCACTCGGACTAAAAACGTTTTACAACCAAGCAAATCGCGGGACATAATTTTTCAGTGCAAAACTCCTCTATGGAATAAACTCATCCAACTGTAGTAATTTGCACAATCTTACCGAAAGGATCAAAAGTAACGCAAACCGTCTCAAGCAAAAGATCGAGACGTACAGATTTATAAATCCCACAGGAATTATAATTCGAGCCGATGACTATGATGATAGTACCATACAGGAAAACAAACAGCAATCCTCTTATATCAGTTAAGTCAGATCACACTTAACGTGTGTACGGAGTTACCTAACGTCTAATTCAACCCAAAAGTTTATCCAGCCTTCGTGCCTGCATCAATTTTTCTCTATTTCCTCAAGTAAATATCAATCGTTAATTTCATTACCAGAGTCTCAGAAAATCATAAGGTTGCATATAAGTTCCGATTAATTCAGTGAGATTATATAGTTCTGCGCTCATCCCGATGCACACCTAGTCGGCTCCATTAGAATCTTGCCGTGCAACTTTGCGATGCATTCCGTTACCAGACATTTTTATTCGACTCCATAGGAGCCGACGACGCGCAGACTACACTATACAGGGTGGCACCAAAGTAAGGATAAAGTTTGCGAGCACACGGAGAAAGTTGAAGTACTCATGGTGCACACCCTGTATATATACTCTGTATATATACTAAATATACTCTGGACTATCAACACTGTCAGGGGTGCCGGTATAATAAATACTAGTATAATAAAAATAGGGCATTGCTTTGGTATATTGGCTTTAGGACTGCTGAATTATCAAAACGATTTTCGCATTGCTTTACAGTGCGAAAGTTTTGAATATTTATCGCGAGTCATTTGTTACGTCACGCATCGCGAAATCTATCTGCCGTTACGAAACTAAACATTTTCCCGACACTGCAAATCGAATGCACAAATCATCGATTATTTTAATCAACCTAGTCTATATGCCTTTTAATTCCTATGGAAAAACTGGCAATTTCATTTCACCGGGTACAATCGAATCAAACAACCGAAAAGAAATATACGAAGAAATAACGAGAGTCGAAAACAAATCGACCTAACGACAGTTTTGGAAAGAGCTACGCGTACTCGTTTGCAGCTTTCCCAAGGGTTGGTACGCTTGGATAACATGGATGATTGAACCTTTCATAGGTGTAAATAAAGGAGACTCGGCCAGCTAGATGAGCACAATATTTAGAAACACGTAATTACGTTACATGGAGAAGACAGTTGGTTGAAAGTTTGATTGCGGCATATTGCAGCCTTGGATTCGTTGCTGTTAGGAAGCCGTGAATCGTCCCAGTTGGCTCTGGCCAACTGTACAGTCTATAATGCTAACTACAGTGCATGTGGCGCGCGCAGTGCACAATCTATCACGCCACATCATGTCGCACTGAGCTACGCCATAGACAGAGCGAATGCTCAACTACTATGACTACTGACAGTCCTTACTAGATCGGTGACTTATGGTGGTCTCAGCTGTCGCGCCGCCACGTGTTTCATGACTTCAAAGGCAGTTACGCAATGCGGGGAAACAGTATCGAATTTCCAAATAGCGTGTCCCCTGCGTTGTTTAAGAAACACGTTTTTGAAAATGGGGTAGTATTGCTCCCTACTATAGCTACCGCAAGCCATTTCACTCCGGCCTGAACAAATACGTCATATGTAACAGTAGCATCTGTTAAATACACCTTAGTTACAGTATGAAAAAAACCTATCAGGGGTTTTACCATCGATGGTGGAAAAGTCGAGAAATGTTGAGAATTTTTTTTTTTACATGTTAGAGAATCGTGATCCAAACGTATTCCACGTGCATTGTCCCACTGAAAAATCCTTGAAACGTCTGGGACGGACTGGCTGACTCGAGTGTTTGTTTCGACGTTAAAGGTCGATGCTTTCTCCGCTAAATGCAGGCCTACCAATCGCAGAGTCCATCTCGAATTTTGGTCAGTCGTATTATTTATCGATATTATTTATTAATTTTTTTTTTGTTCGGTATAATTCGGTTAGCATCCTTGCTGGAGACTCCAATTTTTTAGTCTCTTAACGCAGTCGCGAGCTTAGAACTAGAGGTGCACCCGGTTTGTAGCCAAGACGATGCGGTCAATTCCAGTCAATTATTTGCGTTGTGTGGATCAGCATTGTGTACATGTAATTTGAATTTTTTTAAATTGTCTATCAACACTAATACGTTGTACAACGTATTCAGTAGGTGTTTGTGTGGTCAGATGTGCTTATAGGGGTTTAGTGCAGAGCAGCATTGGTGGACCGTTTATGCTCCTGTAACATACTACGTATACCGAAGTACGAATCATACTGACATTACTGCTGCCTATACTGCCTATAGTGTATGCACAAGTGTGTTCACATTTGGACATGAAATTGATATATGATTTTATGTCACGTGCGATTAATTCGAACTAATCGCCGAGTAATGTGGTTTATCTCGTATGGAAACACCTTGAGACTCATTAATTTATGTTCTTATACCATCAGCATTCTTAAGGTCGTTATACTTATTATTATTAGCGATTTCAAGTGTCACGTGTGTTTTACAGACAGCGATATTTTTTTTTGCAAATACTTTCGCTTGCTAATTATCAAAATGATAAGATGGATCGAGTAACAGAATTATTAATAGTTAATCCTATTAATTGAAATATTTCTACAATTCTCATTGAAAAAATTACGAATTTTATTGTTTTAAGAAATAAAGTTAAAAAATTTATGAAATACTTAAATTATTATATTCAATCGCAATTACAAAATATTGCGTGCAGCAACGTGTGTGATCATTAAAAATATCTGAATTTGTATTGTAACTTTTATTTTTAATTTAGATCAGATTGATATCAGGCTTCGTTATCTTGAATATAATCGATTAATCGAATTCTCTCGATTAAACATTTATTCTGTATCGATAGGCGAAACTGATATAGATTCAATTCCTTTGTGTCAAAACTTTGGGAAATTATCGTGGCTGGTGAAATTGTATGAGGCTATACGAGATGCATTAATTTCTATTCTCCACTCGATGGCTTCGAATATCGTGAAGAATCATAATGTTTGTTCTCTAGTCTTGTCCGTTGTGCGTGATAACATCGTTTCCAGAATATTAAGCTTGTTCGATCGAAAATTGACTTCAAGGGCCTAACGGGTGGAACGTAGTAACCTTAACTTTCACAGAACGTTCTTGCAGCCCGCAAGATCGTGGCGAGAATTACGTAAACGTAAAACACGTCGCCTACTTAATTTACAGCTTCGGAGTAACTGCGTGAATTGCAAGTGGGTAAAGACTGTTTACTGCAAAGTTAAAAGTACGAAAGATGAATAATCGACTAAATAACTTTCAACCAGCAGTAGAAATACTTAATGTATTTAATAATTTGACTCCTTGACTTAGTCTTACCATGGCTTCCTTACACGGTGAAACGCATAAGAGCAATGAGATAAGCAAACGCATAAGATCCAATAACTGCAATGAGGTTGATACGAAATGTTCGCGTATCTTACTCGTAGTAATAAATTTAAGTAATAAATGGATATTCTTCTGCGAATCTCGTGAACTAATAATTTGACTATCACTGGCGCTCGGTGATTGATAAATTTATAATCGTATTTTGATAGTTATTCAATGATTCGATTTTTCTTATAATAAGTACGCAATTGATATTTCAACGTAGATATAATTGTTCGATTGTAGTTTATATAATATTTATATATAAATAGTGTTTTTGTACGTTGATTGAAAATTTTCTCTAGATTGTGTTTCCATTTCAATACATTATAGTAATGGTAGGTTACCTATGGGCATGTATATATAATGACTATTAAATATTGACCAATAATTATAATATTTATTTATCATGTAAGAATTTAGTAATTTCTCCATACTGGATGATCGAATCAGTTATTTAAAATTATTCATAATGATGCATGTTTCATAAACTTTGAACTTTCCTGCAGCACCAGTGAAACCTAATGTCTCGTTGGAGTCATTTCTTAGTCAGGTTCGGTTAGAATCAAATCGGAGACAAATTTGAGTTGATGGTTAAAAAAGATTTTAGATATTATAATTATGATATATTACTGGCAAGGCAATATTGAATTCAGTCAAATTGAAAATGAAAATATTCGTAAAGATTGAGAAGTAAAAATTTGAAGAATCGTTAATAATTGACTGTTTTGAAACTTAATGTGAAATTATAAAATTTTTATATTTGCCATCCACAAGTTGCAACATTCATACCGATTGGCTTTCAATTTCCATATTACTTGGCAAAACTAAAAATTCAAGTTTGCGAAATTTTACGATGACCATGGCACTCTTTTATTTTAACTGAAATTGATAAATATGCCAAATAAATGAGACACGACCTTATCACCCTAATTTCAAAGAGGCACATACAGACTCAACCTGACTTATATACTTAAATCATATTTTTCCTTCTCGTAATTGATTTCATTTCCCAAACAGTTATAACGTATCCGCCTATGTCAGCAGTAACAGCGAAAGATTAATTAGGTACTAACGAGCTC